CCTGCATATCAATGGGAGAATAATAGACCATTTTAAATTGTGCACTTCTGATAAGGGCTATTAAATTAAACCCAAGCATTCTGTATTAAAATCTGGTTTCATTTACAATACATTTTGCACTTTTTTTCTGTGGAAGCTCATGCTGTTAAACTAAAATGTATGTATATTCTGTCAGTGAAGAGGTTGCAGTATGAAACTCCTGTAGTGGGGGTCTGCCCAGGTACAGAAGAGTGTGTGGTTTAGTAAATGCTGCCCTCTACAGGCTGTCTCATCTGCTCTTAAAATTCATTGTATACATTCAAAGCTTTCCAAAAGACATTTGCCTTTTTAAAAGTCCAGATTTTCTCTCCCTTTGCTAAGGTATTGTGCTCACTTGCAACCACCTTCTCAGTCTCTCATGTGTGTGTATTGAAATAGATATTTTATACTTCTAGAGTACAAAAATGAAATACTAGAAATGTGTTTATTCCCAATAGAACTCTTAGACAATATAGTAGAAACATGAATGTGTAATTATCAATAACTATGTTTTAAATATTGTATAAATAAATGCGAAATTTAGTAACATTATCTCTGTCTCTATGAGTTATTTTCTTCTGTGGTTGCTTAAACAGTTGGAACTGTAAAACTATATTCTTTTTTAGCTACAGTAAGTGCTGCAGGCTCCGGAATGGATTAAAAACAGATGCTGTTTTACTGCCTCTGCCCAATTTGAAAAGTCTGTTCATTGTTTTATTGATCCCCTTTCCTGCATGGGAAACCGCTGCAAAACCCTATTGAGGATGGACTAGAATGCTCCAAGAGCACAAGGAAATTTTTTAAACTATATATTAGCAACACTTAAGATTTGTTTGTTTGTTTTGTGTTTATCTGTTTAAATATTACGCCATCTCTGTTCATGGAAACCCATCAGCAAATCATCTATAAAGTGGATTTTTGTAATGATTAGTACATCACCAATAGAATATGTTACCAAACTCCACTTTGATTATTGGGAAACAGAGTGGAGCGCAGTGCAAGTTTGCTTGAAGCCCATCAGTGGGAACTTGTGGGATTAAGGAAACTAGGGCATTCCCCAAACCAACACACTCTAGTCTTGTGTCTTTAAGGGTACGTCTTCACTTACATCCGGGTCCGGATGTAAGCAATCGGTTTTCTGAGTTCGATTTATCGCGTCTGGTTAAGACGCGATAAATCGATCCCGGAAGTGCCCCGGATTGATCCCGGAAGTGCTCGCCGTGGACGCTGGTACTCCAGCTCGGCGAGCGGAGTACACAGCATCGACGGGGGAGCCTTCCTGCTGCGTCTGGACCGCGGTAAGTTCGGACTAAGGTACTTCGAATTCAGCTACGTTATTAACGTAGCTGAATTTGCGTACCTTAGTCCGAAGTGGGGGGGTTAGTGTAGACCAGGCCTAAGAGAGTAGCAGGTGTAAAGGGCACGGACAGCCACACTCTGATCAAGCAGACATTTTATAATAAAGTTTTACCATCACCAGAATCTTCTCTCATAGCAGCTACCCAAGAGAACTTAGTTTCAGTTCTATAGGTAATTGAGATAGGTAATCTGATCATAAAATGTCTGCCTGTGCCATGTACACAGGATTAATTGCCCTCTGTAAGAGGGCTGAATGTGAGTCTTGCAGTTAGATGATCCTCCTCTCTCTCTTAACAAAGAGTCTCCAAAGCCTTCAGTGACCTATCAAAAGTATAAACAGTTACTGCTCTCCAGCTGCCTTACTTGGACTGATGACAGATTTGTGATCCTCCTTTAACTCTGTAGACTTCAATAAATAGAGGCAATTGGAATTATTAGTTCTCCCTTTCAGTAGCTATCACTAAAGAATATCTGAGGAAATGCTCTTTTTCAGTGGTATGAAATTCCCATTTCTAGTTTTGTAGGATCTCAGGAAAACAGACTTAAAACTTGTCACGGGTGCAGAATTAAATACTGCTCTTCCTGGGCTTCAGAGTATTATAATTTTGAGGAATGAAGAAAACGTTTGGTTCGGTGTTGATTTCCTGTTCTAAATTGCAGCTGTTTGAAACTAGGGGTTTGGAAAGTTAGGACAAGACCCTGGAAGATGTATTAGTGGGTAGAGTGCAAGTGAATCAGTCAGAGGTACACAGTAAATGCAGTTTATTGCATCTCTTTGCAGTTTAGTCTTTCAATTCTAATAAGTCTCAAAATAAACTTGCACAAACATAGTATGGTTTTCATTTTTTATTTTATTCTTATGACTAAGAATTTCCTTTTATTGTGTTTATTTTAGGATTATCCATATAGAATAATTAGCTAAATGTTTCCCCTTGATAATTCACCTGGTTAGAAAGGGTTTTTGATGTATGACTACCTACTGTTACCTAAGTATTTATTAATCCTTTTTTCAAAAAATATTTGCCTGGCCACTACAGTTGCTCAAATTGCCATGCTTTTTTAGAAGGAATAATACCTATTGATAGTTCCTATCTATGCAGTACTGAAACCTGGCACTTTTGTATTCACAGCTTGCATGATATAAAATTTAGAGATTGCTTGTCAAACTGTCAGCTGAGTTTCCTAGGAAACTTGCTAAGGATATTTATAAAACTACAGATAGACATATTAATAGAAAGAATAATGTCAGGTGATTATTTTTTTATTTCTCCAGTCCATTTTAACATGCTTTAAGTCAACAATGAACTAACCCAGTTTACTTACAGAGGCTTGATGACCTTTTCATCAATCTTGCCCCCACACTTAAATTGCAGATTCTTCCATGTCAGGATATGTAAAAAATGGTGTTACAAAGTACTAGTGTACAGAAGAAACTAAATACTGTATTATGCCAATTATAGATTAAAATTATTCATAAATAAAAAATGGGTTTGTGAATTTATAAATCTAATTGGACTGTGTACAATGTTTTATAGTTTCATTACACACATGAAAGCCTACATGTTTCATTTCAATGCAAATTTATGTAAAACACTTACTGCAGGCTTGACAAAAATATTGAATGAATGTTTGTCAAGAATATGCACAAATAGAGGATTTGTCAATACTGTAGATACAAAAATACAGTAGAAATTAATTCTGTTTACTTAGCTTTACATATTATGTAGGTTGTGTACGTGTACCTGTACAAAGAGAAAAAATGATTATATCATCAACTTTTACTGGTTTTCTATTGCATTTTCATTATTCAGATGTCGCTGATATAAGGATTAATAAGGGTGGAATGAATTCTCACATTTTAAGCATATCAAATCTAAATTTTGCATCTTGTATCTTTAGTATTCTATGATGTACACCTGCAAAATGTAAATTCCAACAAGAGGCAATTAATAGAAGTACTTGGGGGCACATAGAAATTAATGTTCTATGGAAAGCAATTTTAGAAAAAGAGTTCAAGTTAATGTATTTAATGTTGTAATGGAAGAGGAGCCTGTGTGTTTAGTAAGATGATGTCAGCTCCATATCTCCTCATTTCTGAAATCCATTACTTGTACAAGCAGTGCATTTATTTGGTTGTCAAAGCTATAATCTAATATTGTGGTAATTAACCAAGTAGGTAATTTATATGCAGGTTATTCAAGAATTATTTTTCTCTCTGCAAAAAATAATATTGGGTGTTTGTTTTGGGATTTGTTTTTTTTTACATTTGAGAAAAACGTACAAATGTTCAGTTATAAAAAACATAAACCATGGGAAATTTGCTAGTACTATGCTAAAAGGTTAATGTACTGTGAAGACACTGAGATTATGCCAAACTCTAGTAGTAACAAATATAGACTTATTAGATACTAATTATATGATTGTTGCTTGATAAAGTAAGATGATGATGATCACCAGACAGTGCTGTATTTTTTTCAGTACAGATCACGTGTAGCTAGTTTCACTAAAGCATAAACTATACTGCTGTTATTTGTAATATTTTTAATGTACAAATCATTTAAAAATAACCTCATGATCATGGAGTTCTCTAATTATTGTATCTCAGTTATCTGCAGTTATGGCAGTGGAAAACAAAAAAAATTACTGTATTTTATTTATATATTTATATATGTGTATATATACACACACACACACACACACTGTCTTTCATTCTCTTTAAATTTGTCTTCATGGCAAAGTACTGTACAAATAGGGTTTGGAGGGGTATTTTTGCAACCAGACAGTGTGTGTGAAGCCGTCTGTTTGAGTCACTCTGAAAGTCAGGAGTTCAACATGTTTTCATATTCCCCACTGTAATTAAATAAATTCCACATGCATACCCGTAAAAATTAGAAAAATGGGGGAGAAACTTGCTAATTTAGGGAGAAATCTTGATAACGATAACTTTATACCATGAGTTGGATTCACTGACAGAGGATGTGCACCAAAAACAATCCAGAAATTCAAGACAGATTCTAAGTCATTCAGGCAATCCCTGAAAACGAGCCATCTGGGCTCAAACAAGAAAACAAACAAAAAATTCCAAAAAACCTGGGGAAGAGACCCACATTTTAATTAATCCTGGGCACATTGAATTTTTTTTTAATTTCCTTAATTATGTTATACTAACCCCTTACAGTAGATTATTAAAAATTAATAATATTTTTTAAATAGGTTTTGTTTATAAAACAAAACAAACTCCTCTTTTTTTTTAACCAAATCCTAAATTTTAGGTTTGAACAACTTGACAATGTTCTTGTTGCATAGATGCATTATCTCATATGAGGAAGTGTGGATTTAAAACAACATTTTATTTAGTGCAGTTTTACAAAATTCATATTTACTTTGATCCCATTTGGCTTGTTTGTGGGTATTGCCTGATGGTAAGTATAAAGCATAATATTGCAACACGGACTGGGTAAATGGTGTGTTGCGGACAGAAAATACTTGATCAAAGTAAATTGTTAGACTTAGGCGTTAACCTTGAACCCATCTTTTTATAAGTGTTAGAATCTAAAATTGAAAAGGTAATGGAGATTGTAGAGTTCACGATTTTCTAAATGTGTGTGTGTTTTTTATTCTAGCTTTCTGGAAAGAATTGACAGCGTCAGTATGGTTGACTATACACCCACAGACCAGGTAAGTAAAACTGAAGAGGTAGTGTGTGAACTAGGGTACCTATTTTTGAAAGTTAGTAATTTCTGATGTAATATAATTTCCTTTGGGGGGAGAAACTAGAAACACGTTTACATGAATTCTTTATGTAAACATTACTTTAATCTCAGCTGATTTTGATGTTTCATAGAAATATGGCAAAACACATAATTCTTGAATCCAGTGCAGTACTTCAGCCAGCACTCTAAGGAGATAGTGAAATATTCCAGTTCAAAATATGTTAAGAGTCCCTTTAGTGGAACCAGCTAGATTAATACAATCAGTGCTGTTGTTGACTCCTATGATCCATCTGTTCTTCCTCCCTACATCCCCATTCTGTCTCCCCCAAACCACAGCATTCGACACTAACTGAGAAATCCAAGCTTTCCTGGGCAGGCCTCCATATGTAAAAGAAATGTTTAATTTCTACTGTGCGGCAGTGGTGGCAAACAGCAGAGAGGTGGTGCACTGGGGACTCTGCCTTCTGCATGTGGCAGAACCAGAGCTCTGTGATAGCTACCTACACTAGAGTGTAGGAGGAAGCAACTCTGGTGGAAGCATATCTAATGAGTTTGCACTGCAGATCCACTAGGCCAGGGGTCTCAAGCTCCCAGATGGCCCACGATCCTCCCCAATGTGGTCCGCAGGGCTCCAGCAGTTTTGGGGCCAGATCGCTCCGTTGGCACCACCTGTCGCACTTGGGCACTCCCCCCCTCCAGGGGCCCCGGCAGCACAGTGGAGCTGAGCGACGTCTGCCTGCTCACTCCAGTGACTGCCGGCCCCTCCCTGCAGCCCAGGGGCAGGGCTGTGCTTCCGTGCGCTGCCCCCACCCCGAGCGCCCCTGCGGACAATGGGACGCTGCGGGAGCGGTGCCTGGGGGCAGAAGCTTGCAGAGGCCCCCCGGCCCATCCCACCTTGGAGCCCCAGGTAAGTGCCGCACCACCAACCCCCACCCAGAGCCTGCACCCCCTCCCCACACACTCCAGCCCCCAAACTCCCTCCCAGAGCCTGCACCCCCTTCCCACATACCCCCTCCCGCCCCCAAACTCCCTCCCAGAGCCTGCGCCCCATCCCCACACACACCCAGCCCCCAAACTCCCTCCCAGAGTCTGCGCCCCATCCCCACTCCCTCCCAGAGCCTGCATCCAGTCCCCACACACACCCCAGCCCCCAAACTCCATCCCAGAGCCTGCACCCAGACCCCTCCCAGTGCCCAACCTTTCACCCCTTCTGCACCCAAACTTCCTCCCAGAGCCTGCACCCCAATCCCCTACCCCAGACCTCCTCCTCCACCCAAATTCCGTCCCAGAGCCTTAGGCAGGTAGGGGTGGAGTTTTTGGGGGGCAAAATTTTTGGGGAGTGGGTTCTGGGCGGCATGAGTGACATTGGCCCGCTGGGAGGATTTGAGGACTGGCACTGGCCCTAAGGTAAATTGAGTTTGAGACCCCTGCACTAGGCCATAAATATGCTAGAAGGGGAAGTGTAGCGGGGTGGTTACCCTCTCCTGCCCTGAGGGGTTTAAAGGCAGCCCTGAGGGAGGGCGGTTGGAAGGGAAAAAGCTGCTAGGCTGAGTGGGGAAGTAGCCACAGGTGGGCCACGCCCCAATCAGGCCTCAGCTGGCCCTATATAAGAGGCTGGGAGCCAGGAGCTCAGAGTCTCTCTCTGTTTGTAGAGGGAGATGGGCCTGGCTGCAGGGAGCTAGAGATAGGGTACCTGAGTGGAGCAGGGCTGGGGAAAGGCAGAGGAGCTGGGGAGCTCCAGCCTGGAAAGCCCCAGGCTGCGGCCTAGCAAAAGGCAAATAGATACTGGGGGTTGCAGAGGGCAGCCCAGGGATAGGCAAAGGCAGCAGGTCCAAACCCTCCTTGCCGATGATGAGTGGCTTATACTGCAGTCTGCCCCAGGGAGTGGGTGCTAGTTGGCGTTTGGCAGTGGCCTTATTCTGAGGTGAGGTGGGGATAGTGGGTGGGGGTTCCCCGGGGAGGGGAGACCCAAAGAGAAAGGGGTTACTGCCAGGGGGCAGCACCCCAGATAAAAGGGCACCGGGTCCTGGGAGGGACACGGGGGCCAAGTGGCAGGCGGATCACCGGCCTGCAGAGGGCGCTTCGGAGCTGGGACAAGCTAATTCCCATGGACGACCAGCAGGAGGCGCCGCAGGGGTGAGTCCAACGCCTTACAGGAAGGATTTCTATTTTTCTTCCCCTTTGCCTCCAACCAACACCTATTTCCCATAGGCCATGCCTTTTATCTAAGCTTTGTTTGTGGGACTATAAGTTGGCCTGTAGTTTCATGTTGGGACACAGGTGCATCATATGGATTTATTATATCATTTATACCACTGTGAAACTAGAACAAATTTGTTGCTTATTCAATTGGGACTGGACACTTGGGGTTAAATAACGTGTATGTGCATTTAAATTTTTAAACTTTATATTTCAGGATCAGTCTTCAGAGTGACCTTCCTTCTCTATAGCTACTGAAAATAACATTAGGCAGGCCGCTCATTTTTTTAAATTGTTTCATTATATTTTGTTATGTCACCCAGAGGCCTTCCGGCATGGGTACCAAAAATTTGCCTGTCAGTCACATACTCCTTTCCCAGATGCCTTGATGCTATGTCCATTCAGCCCTCCAGTGATGTACGCTAAAGTATTTGTATTTTTTCATTACTTGTATTATGGTAGCACCTACAGGTCCCAACTGATTTGAGATAGGCCTTACATACACATAGTAAAAGAGTGTCCTGCTTTGGAAAGCTCGCAGTGTAAATAGGCATATATGGGGTGGGAGATAGAAAGTATTATCTCATTTCACAGTTGGGTAACTGAGGCACAGAGAGATTAATGGACTTACCAAAGGTCATACAGGAAGTCTATGGCAGAGCAAGGAATGGAATCCAGGTCTCCTGTGGTTGAGGGCCTTAACCACAAGACTATCCAGATGCTCCAAGAGATATGCGGCAGTGCAAAGAAATTATAACTAAGGCTAAGATTTTGTCATGGTTATTTTTAGTAACAATCACGGACAGATCACGGGCAATAAATAAAAATTCATGGAAGCTGTGACCTGTCTGTGACTTTTGCCGCTGCAGCTCCGTGGTTTCCCCTGCCACTATGGTGGCTGGGAGCTGTGGGGTTCCCCCTCTGCCCACAGCAACTGGAAGCTGCAGGGTAACCATATTTCCTAAAAAGAAAACGGGACACCCCCAGCTGCTCACCCGAGGCGCCCCCCTCCCCTCTGCACAAGGTTGTTGCCCGTTGCTGAAACTCTGAGGAGGGCCCCTCAGGAGTCTGTTACCTGTCACTGGAACCTTGCAGGGGGGCTGACTGTCGCTGCTGTCGCCTATTGCCAGGGCCCCGCTGGCTGCTAGCTCCAGAGTCCTGCAGCCCCTGGAGCTGAAGCAGAGAATGTCACCGAGGTCTCTGGAAATCCTGGATTCTGTGACTTCCATGACCTCTGTGACATAAACATAGCCTTAATTATAACTATAGTATTTGTAAACAATATTCACAAGGCAAAAATCATACAGCAGAATGAATACAAAATAGAAATGGAATATGCAAACAGGTTACTAAAGCTGTCTGAGAAGATGATGACTTTGCAGCTGGAAGGTGGTTTCAGAGCAGGTTAGCCTTCATAAGACTTAAAGACTCATTCCTAGAATCATGACCTGACTTCTGCCTCAAGCTTCCTGGTGCAACTGGGGAGAAATTGGCAAAGAGGGAGCCTCACTCTTTGGTTTCACCATCTCCTTAGGCTCATTTTTTCCTCTGAAGCCTTTCTGCACACTATGCTGTCATTCTTGATGGCTTTATTATAGCTGGAGTTGGTAGGGACTCGTATGTTTAGGTTGCCTAACGCTTGCTAGTATATATAGTAGAAAGTTATGTTCCGGGTTTTTTTTATTTGAGCGGTTCTCACACGTCCATTGTTTGCAGAAGATCTTTGAGATTTGGAAGAGAGAAAGGCTTTCTTTGGGCAAGACAAGTGTCTTTATCCCCTAAAATTCCATTCAGGTTTTTCTGAGATAATTTATAAAAATCATCATTTCTCTTCTATTACTTGCATTCCTCAGGAAAATGTTGGCAGCTGGGCTACTGGGAAGTGTCTGATAACTAAGGCTGCGAGTCTGTCACAGAGATCACAGAAGTCACAGATTCCGTGACCTCTGTGACTTCTGCAGCGGCCGATGCTGGCTCAGGGCCTGCCCTGAGGGGTTGGAGGGTGCGGGGAGGGTGTGCTTACCTCAGGGTCAGGGGCTCCCCAGCTCCCACTGGCATAGCCCTGAAGCTCCTAGGTGGAGGAGGGGCCAGGGGACTGAGTCCGCATGCTGCCTATGCCCGCAGGCCCCGCCCACAGTGGTTCCCAGGCAATGGGAGCTGCGCAGCCAGTGCTTGTGGCGGGAGCAGCATGCGGAGCCTCCTGGCCCCTCCGCGGCCTAGGAGCTGCAGGGACATGCAGAGCCGGGTAGGGAGCCCCTGCCAACCCCCCCCCCAGCCCCCCTCGGGGCCCGGGCCACACGCTGCTGCCTGGCCAGCTCCCCCAGCACCTGTGGCACCCCCGGACTGCCCCCCCGAGCACCCGCGGCCCCCCCGCCCAAGTTTTAGTTAGGGGTATATAGTAAATGTCATGGACAGGTCACGGGTCGTGAATTTTTGTTTACTGCCCGTGACCTGTCCATGACTTTTACTAAAAATATCCGTGACTAAAACGTAGCCTTACTGATAACTACTCAGAGCACCTGTAGCGGTGGCTGTTGGAGGGTAGAGAAAGAGACCAGTTTGGGCTTCCCTCCCCAGACTCAGTACACAGCCCCAGTCGCCCATTTCCCTCCCCTCTCCAGCTTGTAGCACTCCAAGTGGGCTTGAAGCTCCCTTAACTCATAGTCCCTGGCCATAGCAACTCATGCCATCTTCCAAGGGCAGCACATGGTACAGGAGTTCCTCCAACTCCTAGGCGGGAAGAAGAGAAAGAGAGAGAGGTAGACC